ATGGCTGCCAGTCCGGAGATTCAAATTCAAGCGTTGCAATCTTTGCTTGAAGTGAAGGAGAATGTGGACAAGGAGGTTCACATGAAATGTGTGATCACTGCTCTGAGTACAGCGTACTTGGATGCTGACGCAGCCTTGAAGATCTCCGCTGTCATCGAGCAGCAAAGTTCTTTCTCAGCTGAGGACAAAGCTCGTTTGCAAAAAGCTGTTGGTGACCAAGTGCGAGAGGTTGGAAGTGCGAAGAAAGGTGGAAGAAAACCTTACCAGGACTACACCAAGGTTGAGAATTTTTTGACCGACGACGTTTGGGATGGCCTCATGTCGTATCCCTATGGCCGTAGTTGTTCTCTTCTACTGGAGCATGCCTGGAACCTGGGACTACGCAATCCATCGGAGCCGACTTATGCTTCCTTGACTGCTCTTCTGTGTCTGTTTGGTTCACCGAAGACCAATTTTGCTTTGAGTCAAACCTACGAGACCACCAAGACCTCGTGGAGCGCATTTGCCACGAAGCAAAGGAAAAAGAAGGATCTCCTTTCCTTGCACTTGGAGAAGTTGCCTTTGCCTGAAGATTTGCCGGAAGTTTTGAAGGTGAAAGCCTTTGGAACAAAACCTCGTGTGGAGAGCCGCGTGAAGGACAGTTCTCTTGCGGAGTTGGAGCAGAGAATTGTGATGAGGAAGAGCCATTTGCTTTCTCCCAAGAACCCGATGGCGCAGGTTGCGCTCTGTGAACAGAGCTTTGGGCAGCCGCAGTTTGCTGACTCCAGCGCTCATTCGTGGTCGCCTGCGCTGGTGAACCGCTTGGTGGATTCGTTGACGAGGTTGGCGGAAAAGCAGCATGCTGTTGCTTCTGAGTTGCCAATCCAGTATTTGCCGAGAGGCCAGAGCAATGCCAAGACGGATTTGAGCCAGCCTGCTTCGTCTGCCCTCGCGTTGCCAGCTCCAGAAGTGTCAGTGCCTGAGAGCAATCGTCCTGTCGTTGACCCCGGTTTGGCAAAGTTGGTTTCCCCTTCAGAGGAGGGTCAGAAGATGAAGCACGAAGTCACCAGTCAGTTACCTTCAGTGGTTGCAAGGAGCCCTTCTCAAACCGAAGGCGCAGAAGAGCCGAGCACGGTGGAGCCGAATGCCGTGCAAAAGGCTACGGCGCTGGTGGCAGCCTTGGACAAACGGTCGCCTTCGACAGCTTCCATGGCCCAGCCCAAGGTTATGAAACGGCTTGCTGCGGCGAAGACAGCGCCTCAGCGCCACGCCTTGAAAAAGCCTGCGTCTAGCCAATCTTCCACTGCTGTGAAGACTGGAAAGGTGCCGCCAGTGAAGAGTGCTTCCAAGACTTCAAAGTCCAAGGGAACCAAGAAGAGAGAGCTGAAAATGACTCCGAACTGCGTGCATTCACGCACATGGCACGCTGTGAGGAACCAAGTTTTTGCCAAGACGGGCAATGACGAGTTAGCTTGTCAAAAGGCAAAGAAAGCTGCGAAGAAAGCTTTGGACGCTTTTTTGAAAACTGCGAAGTAGTTTTCAAAATTCTGTCCGGCATGGGGACAATGCTGGATGAAAAGGTTTTGAGATATATCTATATGGCCACAGTCTCTCCAAATGCGATCAGAACATGCGTGCTTTGGAAAAAGGACTTGCTTGCGCCATGTTGAGTGGTTGCCATTGCAGGGCGTTGCAGTGTATTGCACTTGTTTAAAAGGTATCATAGTTACTTACCTGCTTCTTGGACTCTCAAGATATTATTGTCTTTTTGTTTTCAGGTGGTTCGATAGATCGACTGCACATACTTCCCGTGAGTAGTGCTTTCGAGTTGACATTTATATATATATGCTAATAAATGTAAAGGACTAGAAATATATGTATGCTTACAAAGGACACATAAATAAATCTATATAGCCATGTATTTGGTGGCGGTGTTTCCGCTGTAGGGGATATTGGCGGTTTATCCGCTGTAGGGTAGATTTTTAAAAATCAGATAGACAGATAGATAGATAGATAGATAGAAAGATAGATAGGTAGATAGATACATAGATAGGTATAGGAGTATCTCTGGGGATTGTGGCGGTGCCTCCGCTATAGGGAAATATTGGCGGTTTCACCGCTGTAGGTTTTGCAAGTGTCTTGGTTTCGTGTCTGTAAAAAACATTTCCAAATAATTCCAAGCATGTGTTTCCCACGAACAATAAGACACTCATCGCACATTCTTTACTTAAGGGCAGACACATGAGCAGATGGAAATCGTTTCTTATTCTGCGTGCAATTGTTTCGAGCAGATAGTTGCAGACACAATGTGGCAACCAGTGGTAGTCGGACACTCTGTCAAAGAGTCTATGAACACAAAGATGTTTTTCGACAGATATAATAGATCAGCTGAAGGTTTCGAAAAAAAATCTATAGATATATTGTTCGAAACGCGTTTCAGTCTGCACGCACAACCCCAGCCCCATGTCGGAACGTGCGCCGTGGCGCCTCTTGCAAGAGCAGCAGAAAGCAGAACAGCAACAGAAGGCTTTCAGGGAAAAAATGAAAGTGCTTAAGATTACGTAGTATATTGTGGTCACTTCGGAACAAGTAACCCTATCAATTTTACACTGCAATTCCCCTGATCGTCTGACAGGATCAGCGCATGAGAGACTACACCGCAGCATTGCTGGAGCGAAGGTCGTCTGGCCTGGACAGCCTGACGAGCGCGGACCTTGAAGTGGCCAATGCTCCTTTCGAGCAGTACATGGCAAAGAAAGCGGCTCGGGCATCCATGCCTTCTGACACTTCTGCGACGTCATCTGCATCTCTGATCAGACCAAGCCGAAGGCCGGAGACGCCTCCCAGGCAAGAAGAAGCTACTGGCAACTCATATGTGCCAGCTGCTGGTTGCAATCCATATGTGACCGTGGCAGAAGCTGCAGATGGTGGTGGTGGCTCTTTGTTGGGGAAAGATCTGTTACCGGATCGGGCTCGGACGCTGAAGGCTTGCGCCAAAAGTGAGCCTTCGAAGTCGAAACGCAAACAGTTTGAAGAGAAATGGGGATACAAAAAAGCTCGCGGCGGAAAGTGTCGCGACTACTTTGCTGATGTGTATTCGCGAGATCCATGGTGAGACTTATATATGGCTGACTGCAATGGTGGCTCTGCTGCGCAAGAGAAAAGTAGAGGATCGCCGGAGTTTGTGCACAAAGTTAATCCCATGTCACAACTAATGCTTGCTGAAACTCTGGACAGGGTTTCGATGTTTGCGACAGCGGCTAAAGACAATTTCTTCCCAAGACACAATTACGTATATAAAAGGCTTCGGTATATCGAAGCTTGGTTGCTGCTTGCTAAGTTTAATCTGTATAGTTATACAATAAATCGGTTGCAATTGGTTGGCGGTGTGTCCGCTGTAGGTTGTGTATATATAGTTGGCGGTATGTCCGCTGTAGGTTGTTCTAGATGGCGGTATGTCCGCTGTAGGCTGTAGGTATTGTTACCGTTGTGTCCCCTGTATAGGCTGTAAGTCTAGCTGGCACAGTTGCCAATCGCGGTAGGTTCTTGACGTGTCCGACTTTGCTGTTGCACTTTTCATGTTTTTACGTTTCAACAAAACCTTTGGCTGAAGCGCATCATTTTGGACCTCTTTCTGCTAATATCTCTACTGTGCCGCCTGCTTTCTCCATGTCAGACTTCTTGAGTGCCTTGGAGCTGCAGCATGCTTTCGAGCGTGTGCAAGCCGTGAAGCCTGATCTGGCTTCAGAGGTAGAGTTTGAGATGGAAAACGTCCGAGAAGTGCTTCGCTTCTACCAATTCATGGTCAAGGATACCAAACGCCAGGCACATGGCGTTGCTCTTTCGATCACGGCTTTCACGGCCTTTCGCATGCACTGCGGTGGAACACCCTTTGAAGATATGAGGTATGTGGAGAACTTGCTATATGACAAGAACGCTGGTCCGTTGCCGATGCTGCAGAAGATCCATTTGGAGTCATTGCCAGAGGGAATGATTTCTCAGAAAGTTGCTGAGTCTAGGTCAGCTTTGGCCTATCTTGAAGGCCTTGTGGTTTCCCCGGGCCACGGCTGTCGCATTTTCGCTTCCTTCTGTGCCTCGTACCAAGTCATTGCTACTGCTTGTGCTTCCTGACCTGCTACTTGAACAGCAAGGACATGGGAGATGGAAAGCTTGGTTTCTAAGTACCACTATACCTGGGTCGCTGCAGACCTCCGGCTGGTCTTCACGATGCGATGGGCTTTTGTTGATGGATTCCAAGTTGAGGAGCCCTGGGAAAACTGAAAGATGCGACAGGCGAAGAAAAACAGATTGCATGTGGTATGCTGAAATTTCATGTGTTGCGGATATTGCAGTAGCAAGAACATGTCGTTTTGCGCTTTGTTTCACTCTATTCTATTAAATCAGATATAGCGACGCTAAACCAAGGACGTCTAAAACTAGTTGGCTCAAGTTGAACGCATCTCTTCCTGAAGATGTCACTCTGGCACAAAGCATTGGTGAATACGTTGCTGCTTGAGATTGATGCCGTGTGCCTGTATACCAATGCGTTGAAGCAGGAAAGTGGAAGAAGGAATAGAGGCGAGAGGGGAAAAGCCATTGCCTGGCTTCGGGCTGACTTCGTTCTGACGTCGTTCTGCCGTCGGTCTGACTTCGTGTGTAGTCACGGTGTAGTCGGCCCTGACTTCGTTCTGACTTCGTGTGTAGTCGCGGTGTAGTCGGCCCTGACTTCGTTGTGACTTCGTGTGTAGTCGCAGTGTAGTCGGCCCTGACTTCGTTCTGACTTCGTGTGTAGTCGCGGTGTAGTCGGGAGTGTAGTCGGCGTGTAGTCGGGGCAAAAAGTGTAGTCAGAGTGTAGTCGGGGGCTGATTTCGTGTGGAGTCGGGGTGTCGTCGGGGGAAAAAGTGTCGTCAGAGTGTAGTCGCGGGGGCTGACTTCGTTCTGACATCGCATGTAGTCGCGGTGTAGTCGGCCCTGACTTCGTTCTGACTTCGTGTGTAGTCGCGGTGTCGTCGGCCCTGACTTCGTTCTGACTTCGTGTGTAGTCACGGTGTAGTCGGGGTGTAGTCGGGATGACGTCGGGCTGTTGTCGGGGTGTCGTCGCGGTGTTGTCGGGGGCGTCGGGCCGTCGTCGGGGTGTCCTCGGGGTGTCGTTGCGGTGTCGTCGGGGTATAGTCGGGGTGTTGTCGGGATGTCGTCGGGGTGTCGTTGCGGTGTTGTCGGGATGACGTCGGGGGCATATATATGGTGCTGTATATGTTGGAACGCGAGAGAAAAAATCCTTGGTTTAGCAATATATATCTGTCAGTTTCCAGAATTGACAAGTTTGTTCAAGAACCAATTGAATTATAAATTGAAGCGTGGATATTTAAATATTTAGATAACACATACAAAAATAGATGAAGTTGTCGCCACGCCTCGATGACGTCAGCCTTGATCGCAGGGCAAGGAGCAGCAGAGACGCCTATATAGATACTGGGACTGACTCACAGTGTCGTATATATATATATATATATAAATGTTTATGGCATTATTATAGGTTTGCTATATATTTGGGCAGTTTGAGACGTTGTGACTTGTACCGTGGCGGTGTGTCCGCTGTAGGATGGCTTCACTTTACAGTCGTTTGGAAATGGCAGGGAAGGCGGTACACCCGCTGTAGAACTCTTCTGAACATATCTGGACACCCGCCCATGATTTCATACGTCGATCTGTATGTCAGGGATCTATATATAGGCAGGCTTCCTGAACACGTTTCGAAGTTTCCACGCTCCCCTGCTTCGTCTCGATGGCAGCTGAGTCTGCGCAAGCCAAGGAGCAGCAGATCGCTCAGGATCTGCCAGAAGCGGATGCTGTGATGGAAGACATGGACAAGCAACTAGATGCCTTCAGAGCAAAGACCAATGCAGCTGGTGCTTGTTGTATGCCGAGTCGCTGGAGATGAAGCATCACGGCAAGAAGAAGACATGCAAAGCATGTGCGAATGTGCAACAGCAGCTGTACCGCCACCTTGGTTCGGTCGATGAATCCCTGTCTGACTTCACCGATGCAGAGCAAGTCGAGTTCTTTCAAGAAGCGGGGCACGCGGTCAACATGGAAGGGGGGGGACGTTGGAAGTTGCTGAAGTCAGTTCTGGTGGACAAGAAGGTCAAGATCGTTGAAAGGGAGCAGAAGCTCGGGGTGGGATCTGACTATGTGCCCTTGTCCGTCTGGCAGCAGCGTGGATGGAAGGATGAGGACGTGTTGGCATTCGATGACTGGATGACACTTCCAAGCGGCACGAAAGCTTACAGATGCCATATCCATTCCAAGCATGACAATGTGAACAAGAGAACGGTCGAAGAAGCCTTGCTGGAAAGAGAACGTGAGTGCAAGAAGCGCAGGTTGCCGAAAGGCAAGGCCCAGGGCAAGCTTGGCTCCCAGACAGCCGTTGAGCCCAAGAACCAAGACGGGTGGATGGTGGACACCGACAGCGAGGCGGAAATACCGAAGAGGCGATTGGTTTTAGAGCTCTTTTTTTTTTGGTTTGACTAGAAACT